CCCTTCTTCTCTCATTGAAGAAATAAAATAAAAACTTAAAAAATTTTTATTCCTGTCCTTATACTCCCCTTGAACCTGTATTCCAATTGTGCAATGCTGAGCATGGAATGCTTACTGTTATTAGTATCATGATTATTGGGCCGGCCATGTGGCCTGGTGGTTCAGGGAGACAGATCCCATGTGACGGACTGTGGAGTTCAAATCTTGACTCTATTGGCTTGAAAAACATACCAAGCACATGTGCATGTGTGCCCCAAATCCTGATAGGATGGAGAAATACAGGGAAAAAAATTATATTATGGCAACATCCCGTAGGGAGGATGCTTCCTCCTTTTCCCTCTGTTTCTCTGGTGAGTACATGTGCCCTTTCACAAATTAAAGTATTACTTAGAACTGTTAGTAATATTTATAGCAGCACCATTAATCCCCCGTCTACTCTATAAGCTCTCATTAATCTATAAGCTCTGTGAGACCGGGGACCTTGCCTCATTTTCTGTGTTACCTGAGTTCTTTTGTTTGTTTTGTTTTGTTTTGTTTAGATTTTTGTCAGTGCATGAGCATACCCTGTTGAGAGATAGAGAAGGGGGAAATGAGAAATTCCCCCTTTCTGGGGGGTCGGCCACACTACAATCCCTTCTCCTTCATTCTCCTCTGGGGATTTTAGACAGGCACACACACATGCCCCTCTGTGATTTTTCAAGCCAGCTTAGTTCAAGGCTAGAACCACTGTTGGCCATGTGAGAGTGCAGTGCCTTATCCACTACCCCACCTGCTGGCCCCCTGAGTCTGGTTTTATGTAACTGTGTATATTGCAACCCTACACTTTGTACATTTCGGATAGCAGTGCAGATTAATTCTCTTCAGGCACTGGGAGCTGCCTCACCTCCTCACTGCTGAGGCCAGTTCAGGCACCCACTTGGACACTTGTTATGGTGTTTCTGCCCCGTAAAGGTGTTTGTTCCTTGTATTCTCCTTTGCACTAGTTCAAACACCTTACCAGTTTAGACATTAATGAATTACAGGATGCCTTTAATAGATACTCATTTTTATATCTATATGAGAATTGTGATTTTACTTTTTTTTTAAATTATTTTTGATCACCCCACAGTATTTAGCTCCTGGTGTTGAACTAAATTGGATTTCTTGGTTGCCCATGATTGTTCTCAATATTAGCAGAAATTTCTTTCCATTTTCTATCTAAACTCTAAGTTGGTTTGGACTGGGGCATTGTCTTGTTCATCGTATTCCTCCTTCTTCCTCTCTTTCGTCACTTTCACTCCCTTTACTCTCTTCCTCATAGAAGCTGTGCATCCAGGTACCCCCTCCTTACTCCTCATAGGTTCCCTTCTTTGGTGTGACTGTCACAAGAGAGGGAAACGACAGTGCCCTCATTCCAGAGAGCTTCCAATTTCCTGGTTCTGACCTAATAGGCTGAGTGCATTTTCTTTCTGCTGGCTTTTAGAAGGACACCTCTTTATCCTCATACCAATGTTTTTTGAAGCTTATCCTAGTTAGAGTGCAGTTGTGTTTGGGGTACAGGAGGGTTTTTCATGCCTCTGAGGCCAGGATTCAAACCATGTGATCAGCCACACGAGATCTGGCTCTTTTAACCGTCAAGCTATAAGGCTGACCCATCAGGTTTGGTCTCTGGCTTGTTGATGCCACCTTCTGCCCGTGTCCTCACATGCTCTTCCCTCTGTGCATGTTTGTAAACTCTCCTCGTTCTTCTTCTTCATCTGCAGAATGGGAATGAGGATGGTCTGATCTTATAGGAGTGTTGCGAGATTAAAAGAATAAACATACAGAAAGCACTCAGAACGGTGGTGAGGAATGGTCTGATGTCATGTGAATGTTGCAAGATTAAAGGAATAAACGGTAGCCGACAGGTAGCATAGTGGTTAAGGCGCTGGACTCCCACCAGCTTGAAACTCACGCTGGGCGTGTATGCGTGTGTGCCCAAAATTCCAAGAGGAAAATGGAAGAGAAGGGATTGCGGCCTAGCCATTCCCCCTGGGGAGTGATTTCTTGCTTTCTGTCTCTCTGTCAAGCACACACTCCCTATAGCAAAAATCTCTCAAAAAATTAAAAGAATAATAATAAATAAAAGAATAAAGACACCTTAAGCACACATAAAGGAGTGATGTTTCAGGGCTCAGTACTGAGTAAGGTCAAACATGAGCCTGCTCCAAGTTACGCACACTGAAGATACTCATGAGACTGTGTATGCTCACATCACTACTTGCAGTTTACCATCCATGCTCATGCTTAACCTTGTCTAATTTGAGCCTCTTAGCAAACCTGTGAGGTAGGCATTTTACAGATGAGAAAGCCCAGGAGAGGCTGGGCACCTTGCCAAAGTCACATGGCTCTTAAGAAGTTAAAGCCTTCTGACTCAGTCCAGTGCTTTTCCTGTCTCTGCTATATTCACAGTCACCATCTTTAACACAATGTGGTCACCTGGAGCCACTCCAAGGCCACTGGGAAGCCTGCGAAGAAGGTCTGAATTTCAGAGAATGAGAGGCCTACTTCTGGTCCTATACTTGGGGATCTTTTGGACTGTTTAAGAGTGTTTTTGTCCTAGATACTATGTTTCCCTGAGGGACGGACTCTATTGACTTAGCTCCATAAGAAACAGTTGTGAGTCCCGGGCCTGGTGGCTTGAGACTGACACCAGGCACATATGCATGTGTGCCCAAAATCCTGAGAGGGGAATAGAGGAGAAGGGATTGTGCAATGGAAAAAAAAAAAAAAAGAAGAAAAATAAAAACAGCTGTGTGCTGTCAGCAGTGACTTCTGAAAGTCTGCTTGGCCAAATTTTCAGTTTAGTTTCTGTGGCAAAGGAGAAACAATAATAGAGAAGTACCCACATTTAGAGTTTTGATTTTTTTGTTTTTTCATTTCTTTTGGGGTTTTTTGGCCTAGCCCACAGAACAAATGGGAGAAGAGTTTCCTTACCATAGACCATTAGAGTTTCTGAGTGAGATTCTTGCTAAGGGAAGATAAAGAATAAAACTATTCCCATTTAAATGCATCATAGTCACTCTGGCTCATTTAAATACCAGTGAGATCATGTAGGTATCAGCGAACAGAGAGATTGGATCGTGGAGAATGCTCTAAGGTTCTTATGGATTTCAGAAACATTAGCTTATTTGCTGTGGGTGGCCAATAAATAATTTTCAAAAACTAGTCTTTGAAGACATGCCTTCCTTTTGGGGAATTCTGCTTTGGCTTGTGGGTATTATCTTCCGAGGCCTACAACCATTGGTTTCCCAGAGCTTCGTCTGCCTGAACTTTCCATCCCTCTTTGATTATCTGGGGTTCTGTGTGGGCCGGGACCTAATTAGTATGTGTGTCTGTCACGAAATAGCTGAAGCATTTTTCTGTTGTTAACCATGTCGTGTGAGTATGTGAGTAGGGCTCAGTCATCCAGGAGCATGTGGGTAGTTGGTGAATTTTGCAACAGGAGCTGGAAAGAGTTTGAACATGCCATGGGAAAGGGCATGTCCTTCATCTCTGCTCAGTTTCCTTACTTTTGGCTTCAAGTTTATGCCTTTTAGTTAAACTGGAGGGTCTTTCAGATCTGGAGCCTGATCATCATGGAAGGTTGGCTGAGGATGTAGGTGAGAGAGCCCATTGAAGAACGGAGCCTCTTGCCAGCAGAGCAAAGCTCCTGGGGAAGGCAGCGTTCTAGTGTGACCAGGCCTGTGGTCAGAGCCATCAGTTAGTCGCTCTGGGTCAGATGCAAGTCTGGCAGCTCAGAGAGAAGGCTGAGCTTGTGCAATCACAGGGCTCAGCTTCATGGTGAATCAGCACCTTCACTCAGTACTCAGGGCAGGAAGGGAACCAGGGCTGTATGTGTAAGACTGAATGGGAGCTGATTTAGGCAAGTATGTCTGTGCTCTGTTACTTTGTCTCTTTGTTTTTTTCTTTTCTTTTCTTTTTTTTCCCTTTTACAGGGCGTGTGCCCTTTCTTGCTTTTAAATTGTTCTGCTTGGGCTTTAGGTTTTCAGCTGGGATTTCTCCTTCCTTTAGATCTCAGTACAATGACAGAAATGTTCTATTCTTTGGTCACTTCAGGCTGTCCCTAAAATATTTGCAAATAGGTTTAAGGGAAAGCACTCAGAGGAGGCTGCCTGGCCTTCAAGACATCCTTGGTCTCCTAGAGTGCTTTTCTCACCTCTGTCTCTTGGGCATGCTTTAATCTGTCTGAAAGCTTGCCTCTTGCTTGATTTCCACACAGGTTGGAACCACAGTGAGTTAACAGACCTGGCTGGAGGTTTTGGGGAAAGCAGTGAGGGGGCAGAGGAGGCGAGCAACAGGTGGAGCAGGCCTTCACCCGGACACAAGGTATCTCCTTGCTCAGTGTTCTCTTGTGACCCCGACATGCTGGATTTTTTTTAAAAAGAATTATTTGTTCAATTGTATTTTTTATTATTATTATTTTAAATCTGACCAGAGAAAGACAGAGAAAGGGAAAATGAGAAAGCAAGCCGCTTGGTCTAGGACTCAAACTGTAGTCAGCCATGTGGAAGTCCAGCGCCTTAACCATCATGCCACCTGCTGGTCTCCATGCTGGATTTCATTCAGTCCTGGCTTCCCCATTCTTTTGGCTCTCTCCCTCCTTCACAGATCTTTCCTCTTTCTTTTTGGGAAAGAAAATCAGTCCAGAGCAGTTTGTGGAATGCAAGGTCCCTCAGGCACAGGCCTGAGAGCGGTTGTGCTCACAGCTGAGTAAACAAGTTTAGAAAGAGTTAGGGTTCACAGTGTGACCCCCACTTTTCTTCACCCCCCTGCTCTCTAGCTCAGGTTGTAAAGCAAGGTGTGGTCAATCAGTTGCCTGTGCTATTTTATTTTGTTCCATTTTGTTATTAGTTTTGATTGTTTGCTATAGGCAGAAAGAGCCCATTTCTTCCTGCACAGAACAGCCTCTTTTGTTCTCTTCAGGCACAGTCTACTGATTTGGATCACCCAAGGTCTCAGCTGCCCCAACCTGCTCTTCCAGGCAAAAGCAGAGTCCTGAGACCAGGGGTCCTCTTCTTGGCCATTTCACTTCTCTAGAAACATTCCATAGGAAATTCCCCCAGTGCTTTCTCCCTTACCTGGAAGTTTGCAAACATCTTAGGGACACTTTTAAACAACCACAGCCATTTTAAACATGAAAAATGGAAAGTTTCTGTCTATTTTACCTAGATCTAAAGGGAGGAGAGCTGGCCCATAGCCTCATGGTTAAAGGAAGTTGGTCCTGCATAGTTGCCAGTAGTTTGAATCCTGGCCCCAGCAACTTGAATAACATGCTGGGAAGGGGCTGGCGAGTGTCATGGTGGTTAAGGGTGCTGAACTCCCACATGGCTGACTGTGGTTCAAGTCCTAGACCTGGTGGCTTGCTTTCTCACTTCCTCTCTCTCTCTCTCTCTTCTCTCAATCTAGTCAAATTAAAATAAATAAATAAATCAATAAAGTTAAATAAAATTATTCTTTAAAAAAAGAAAAAGAAAAGAAAAACATGCTGGTCATGTATGTGTATGTGTATGCCCAAATCTTGACAAGATGGAGAAATGCAGAAGTGATTGCTGGGCAACCATGTTCCACTTGGGGGGGAGGGGTTCTCTCTCTATCTCTTTGTCTGGTGAATACTCATGCCCTCTTGCAATTAAATAATAATAACAATAACAACAACAATAATAATAGCTTAAAAAGTAAATAGAATAAGGCGATGTCACCCCTTTGATACACACCCAGATGACTGATGTCACATATGTGACGTGGCATTCACCTGCTGGGGTTCGTCCTCATGCAGGTGTGACCTGGGCCAGGGTTAACAAAGGCCAGGGTCACTTCCCCAGCCTCAGGCAGCCTGCTGGCTCATGTGCAAGGGTGTGGGGCTCAGGAGAGCAGGTGCTCAGGGCAGTTCAGATATCTTGGCAGGAATGTGGGGTGACGTGTTTTAATTGGCCGTCCTTGCATGGCTGTTCCCAGAGGTCTTCTGACTCCGCAGTCTCTCGGGAACTTTCTTAGTAGGTTTAGGAGCAGCCCCGTGAGTTTCTGTTGGCATGAAGCAGGATGGTATGGAGGAAGGAGGACAGGTTCTGGGTCTGCAAAGGGGACAGTGAGACTAGGCTCAGTGTCTTCCTCATTGGTGCATCCTTGGCCAAGTTACTCGACTCGGCCTTAGTTTGGTCCTCTGTATCATCTGTGGTATGGGAATAACACTGACTCCACCAGATGGATGAAAAGAGTGAAAAGAACATTCAAGGGGTCTTCAAAAAAGTTCACGGGAGGGGGGAGCAAGTTGCGTAGTGTAAAGGCGCTGGACTCCCATGTGGTTGACTGCAGTTCGAGTCTGGGGCCTGATGGCTTGAAACACACTGGGTGCATATGCATACATGCCCAAAATCTCGAGAAGAGAATGGAGAAGAAGGGATTGTGGTGTGGCCATCCTCCCTGGGGAGTGGTTTCTTACTTTCTCTCTCTATGTTTCTGGCCAGTGCAGAGACACATAGCAAAAATCTCTCTCAAAACAAAACAAGAATAAATTCATGGAAGGGGCTAGATGGTGGCACAGTAATAACACACAACACTCTATGAGGCCATTCCACGTGAGAGGGTTCCTGGTTACAGGGAACACACTTGTCCATGATCTGGGATTGGCCGAAGGCTGGGAGTAGATTGTGGTAGCAAGACCCTGGCAGATTGGGCAGGCCCTGTGGCCTACTGGCTAAGAGAGCTGAGTCCCATATGTCTGACTGTGGTTCAAATCCTGGCCCCAGCAGCTTGAAAAACACTCCATGCATGTGTGTGCATGTGTGCACATGCCCCGAATCCCCAAATGGAGAGATAAAAGAGAAGGGATTGTGGCATGATCATGCCCCATAGGGAGCCTTCTCCCTCTTCTTGCATTCTCTGTCTCTTTTTCTGGTGAGAGCAGGTGACCTCTGACAATTAAAAAAATAATAACTGGGGCCAGCATGTTGCATAAGGCTTTGGACTCACATAAGGTTGACTGTGGTTTGAGTCCCGGACCTGGTGATTTGAAAAACGTGTCAGGCATATGTGTGTGCATGCCTAAAGTCCTGAGAGGAGAATGGAGGAGAGGGGACTGGGGCATGGCCATCCCCCTGGGGGATGATTTCTTGCTTTCCGTCTGTCTCTTTGTTGAGTACAAGCATCCTATAGCAAAAATCTCCCAAAAAATAAAATCACATAATGGGACCAGCAGTTGGTGTCATGGCTATGTCATTGGACTCCCACATAGTAGACTGCAGTTCAAGTCCCAGACCCGGTGCTTAAACGTATGCCGGGCACATGTGCGTGCATGCCCAGGATCCTGAGAGGAGAATGGAGAAGAGATCGTGGCGTGGTCATCCCCCCCTGGGGGTGATTTCTCACTTTCTGTCTCTCTGTCTCTCTCTGTCTTTTTGGTGAGCGCACACGCCCTATAGAAGACCTCTCCAAAAAAAAAAAAATCAAATAAAAAGACCCTGCCAGGGTTCTCCCTCTCTCTCTCTCTCGTTCATGGAGAAATAAATAAATAAACTTTAAAAAAACTTCATGAAAAATGCATATTATGAAATATTATGAAGAAATTATATATAGATTTTTTTAAATCCCTGTACCAAAATAAACTCATACTTAAATTCTACTTTCCATGGACTTTTTTTTTTGGAGAGGTTTTTGCTATAGGATACCCAGCCTTCTCATGGTACTAGCAGGAAGTTCCCCCCACATCCCCACCCCCACCCGCCAGCCGCGTATCCTTCAGTGGTTGGGCCAACTAGGTTTTAGAGTATTTTCAGCAAAATATTCATTTTACTAGGCAGCTTGATATGGTAGAAAGAATTCAGGTTTGCAGCTATACAACCTGATTCTAAATCTAGCTCTGCCTCATACTTGTAAGGCCGAGGCCCGTGAACTCACTTCTCTGAGCCTTAAGGACTTTCACAGCACAGGAGAGGAAAATAATCAAAACGATTTAAAAAACGAAACTAAGGGTCAGTGGGTGGCATGACAACTGGGTTACTGGACTCCCATATGGCCAACCATGGTTTGAGTCTCGGATCCTGGGGCTTGCTTTCTCACTTTCCCTCTCTCTCTGTGTGCATGTCTGTCTCTCTCTCTGGTGAGTGTCTGTATCAAATTCAAAAGTAATAATAATGGTAAATAAAATAAATAATTCTTACAAAAAAAGAAACAGAACATCTTGGCCTCTTACTCTCTTAGGGTGCCATAGCAACATACAAAAACTGGGTGGTTTAAGCAACAGAAATTAATTTTCTCAAAGTTCTAGAGGATGGAAAGCCAAGATTAAGGTGTTGGCAGATTTCGTTTCTGCAATGTCTCCCTCCTTTGTTTGGAGATTATCAACTTCTTGTATCCTCGCATGGTCTTTCTTCTGTATGTCTAAATTTTTTCGTATCTTTTTTTAATCTTTTAGAGACAGGATCTTGCGATGTTGCGCAGGCTGGCCTCCAAATTGTGATCTCTCTTTCTCAACTTCCGGAGTAGCTGGGATTACAGCCATGCCACCACCACGCCTCACCAAATTTCCTTTTCTTTATCTTTTTTTTGAGAAATGTTTGATATAGGGCACGTGTGCTGGCTGGAGAGACAGACAAAGGCAGAAAGAAAGTGAGACATCACTCCCCAGGGGGACAGCCATGCTGCAATCCCTTCTCCTCTTGGAACTTTAGGCATGCACATGGATACAGCTGATTTGAGTTTCAAGCCTCTGGGTCTGTGACTTTAACCTTGGTCAGCCCTGTGGGAATCCCCCGCCTTAACCACTATAGCACCTGCTGGCCCCTCCTTTTCTTATATACAAAGATAGTCATTGTGGATTAGGGCTGACTCTAATTGCCTTGTTTTAACTTAATCACCTCTTTAAGGTCTCTTCTCCAAATACAGTCACATTTTTAGGTGGGGGAGGGAGGCGGGGGGTGGAGGAGTGTGTTACAACTTCAACATACAAATTTGGGAAGAGAGTAAAATTCAGTCCGTAAGAGCAGGTAAAGCTTCTGCTGAGCGGTGGACCCCCACAGGTGCTCATTTCTTATGAAACCCTGGATTTTCTTTCTCTAGCTCCTACCTCTTCCTAATTCTGGGAAGTTTCTATGGTTTGAAGTTGGTAATTCTGCATGGGATGAGGTAATATTTTGTAGAGCTTCATAGGACAAGCTCCCCAATGGCAAGAACAGAAAAAATATGAGGAGCCTGCTCAGCATCCTTCTATGAGCAGAGTAGACCCTTGGGGCCAGCAGGTGGTGTGATGGGTAAGGCGCTGGACTCCCACAAGGCCGACCATAGTTTGAGTCCTGGACATGGTGGTTTGCTTTCTCATTTTCTCTCTCTCT